AATGGACTTTGAAAATATTTGAACTATTACAAAAACTTTAACATAAATTCTAAGTCGAAAAAGGGGCATAATTCTGTCAAAATGCTTGATAGAGTTACCTCCTCCTGTTTACAGATTGGGGTCATGATGTTGAACAAGTGTGCAAAGTTTCAAGCCATATGTCAATGGACTTTGAAAATATTTGAACTATTACAAAAACTTTAACATAAATTCTAAGTCGAAAAAGGGGCATAATTCTGTCAAAATGCTTGATAGAGTTACCTCCTCCTGTCTACAGGTTGGGGTCATGATGGTAAACAAGTGTGCAAAGTTTCAAAGCCATATGTCTATGGACTTTGAAAATATTTGAACTATTACAAAAACTTTAACGTAAATTCTAAGTCGAAAAAGGGGCATAATTCTGTCAAAATGCTTGATAGAGTTACCTTCTCCTGTCTACAGGTTGGGGTCATGATGGTGAACAAGTGTGCAAAGTTTCAAAGCCATATGTCAATGGACTTTGAAAATATTTGAACTATTACAAAAACTTTAACATAAGTGGTTACGCTGACGCCGACGCTCGGGTGACTGCAATAGCTCTACTTATTCTTATCGAATAGTCGAGCAAAAAACAAGAACATAATCTTTAAGAATTATTTGGCTTATCTTTATGTTCTTGCTATTTTCATACTAGGTCAGGAGAATGGGTTTAGGAGGACCTGACCCATCCTGAAATTTGGCTATTAATTCTGTATAACCCATTACTTGATATACACTCCTTTTAACGCCTTTTTCACCCCACCTCCCCACCCCTTTTGTTGCTCAAATGGTGAAAAAATGCCTTATTTAGTACCCCAACACTTGTTTTTGTTTCGAGAAATGTTGTTTAAAAAGTGATTACTTTTTCAGCGCCGCCCCCTATCCAAAAGATACAACAGGGGGTTTCACAAAATTCTCATGCGGCAATGGGTTAAAGATACATTAAGGTTTAGATATTAACTCACCTTAGCTTAAAGGAAATCATGCAAAAATTTAACACATTACCAACTCCTGAAACTTGTAATTTAAAATAATAACCCAATATGGAATATACATTATGGTTTACACTTTTTCCAAAATTTTGTGTTTTATCAGGGGACACACGGACAAAATTGATCCTTTTTAATTAATCCTTTAAGGAAATTGCCTAAAAATTATTGGTACTTTTAATATAATGTATGTAATTTGCCTTTTTTCTGTGATTTTATGTTATGAAATTTCATATTTTATACGAAAATGGCTCAAAATAGTTTTTAGTCATAATGTATTGTATTTTATAATCAAATGTCACACCACCAGATTTTGTAAATGTAAATAAGTAATCCATTAAGCTTATACCCAGTAAAAATAATTGTGCCAACAAGTTTTATTTATATCCTTGATCTATATTTATTGTCTACTTATTCCATATAAAAAAGAATTAAAACAAGCCTGTCCACTTAGGTGAATTAGATGGGTTTTTTTTCCTGTTTTTCTTCACCAACACAGTATAGGTCATATGGTGACTTTACAGCTTTACTAGAGGAGGAAGACCTAAGATGCCCTTCACAAACAGGCACCTGGACCTGAGTAAAACCACTGACAATTTGGTCAAAGAATAGTTAACCCGTTACACAACTCCAGCATGGGTAATGACAGTGAAATCCCTTTCTCTGACAATGGATAATTTAAACTCCACAGCAAGACAAGTCCAATTTGCAACTTCAAAGGGGGCATAAAGGTAAATAAAACAATAAATTCTAACTATTAATCAGAAAAAGCAGAACAAATGTGGAACCTTAAGACTTGAGTACATAATTACATGTATGAACTTACAGAACAAGTACACTAAATAAGGTAAGACTATGTTATCATGACATGACCTAATAGAGAACATAAAATATGACTATAAATATATCTTGCTATCTATAACCATAACATATTGTTCCCAATAGATATCTTGTGTTAACAAAAATCAAAGAGAAAGTTTCAAAGATTCTTCAACCGAAAATATTAAATAATTTATTAATGTTCTTTTTCTTTCTTCTTTTTTTAGTTTTCATCATGCAAATGATTTAAAAACTTTGTCAAATGTGTACATGAAAAAATTACTTTCTTCAAATAATGGGTAGTATAAAATTTGATTTATATTTATTTCAGACCTTTCCACCAACACAGTAAAATTAGGAAAAATGCCTTGTGAAAAATCTTATTTGGGAATTATAGCATTACTTTAATAAAAGAACAGCTTATAGACAGTCGGATATGGCATGCATTAAAGATAATTTTATAGGATTCCCTTTTTAAAACAAAATACTTCTTTACAGAAAATTAACAACAACATAAATATAATATACTGACGATTGGGTCCTTTAACTTCTCAATTGGCAAAAATCATGTTTTGGCTTCATCATAAATTTTAACATTATATTTTTGTAGAATCAAATATATTAGAATAGATCAATCAATAACAACATTGTAATGTAAGAAGCATCAGCGATTTTTGTCTGCCAGCCTATGAAAATTTTCCAAACAGAAAGTTCCCATACATTATTTGACATGCCATAAATCTAACTTTAAAAACCATAATACATGTATAATTAATACATTCTTAAATTCATATGTTGACATTTTAATAAAAATGGTTCTTTAAAAGTATAAGAATATTTGCGTTTGAAAAGTCATTAAAATATCATAATATAATTAATACACTCTTAAATGATATGTTGACATTTTAATAACTAGAAATGTGTCATCATGCCACGGATGCCCCCGCATGCAACCAAAATTTCAGATGTTATTATATTTAGTTCCAAATTTGTTTGCACAAATTATTGTTTTCATTCTAAGTTCAAAGCCCTTAAAACTTTTCAATGTTAACACAAACCATTTTCATACAATGTTCAAGGCACTGAAATTATTCAGTCTTATCCTTTTGAAAATAGCATATTTCATATTTGTAGCCAAAATAATGGCTACATACATTTCCACAAAAGTATGAGTGCTGAAACTGAAAGTTCAAAATTTTTCCAATATTCAAGAAAGATAAGTTTGTCCAAAATCATTGAACCACGACCAAATTCAAACTTAAACTGCTTATTCCTAAGATGTATCTATATTATTTTCAAAGTGAAAGGGACATAACTCTGCCAAAAAATCATCGAACCATGACCAAATTCCAACTTGACCTGCCCATTCCTTTGACATATCCATATGTCAAATTTGAGTTGAATATGTAACACTGTTGGGTAGATAATGAACAGAAACTGTAAATTTCATATTATTTTCAAAGTAAAAGGGGCATAACTCTGCCAAAAATCATCGAACCATGACCAAATTCGAACTTGACCTGTATTTTCTCATGACATATCCATATGTCAAATTTGAGTTGAATGTGTTGTACCGTTGGGGAGATAATGAACGGAAACTGAAAATTTCATATTATTTTCAAAGTAAAAGGGGCATAACTCTGCCAAAAATCGTTGAACCATGACCAAATTCGAACTTGACCTGTATTTTCTCATGACATATCCATATGTCAAATTTGAGTTGAATGTGTTGTACCGTTGGGGAGATAATGAACGGAAACTGAAAATTTCATATTATTTTCAAAGTAAAAGGGGCATAACTCTGCCAAAAATCATCGAACCATGACCAAATTCGAACTTGACCTGTATTTTCTCATGACATATCCATATGTCAAATTTGAGTTGAATATGTGCAACCATTATTAAGATAATGAACGGAAACTTGATGATGACGGAATGACAGAATGACGGAATGACGGAATGACGGAAGGACGGAATGACGGAAGGACGGAAGGACGGAACAGGGTAACACTATATGCCCCGGCCATTACATGGCGGGGGCATAAAAATGGTTCTTTAAAAGTTTAAAAAATTTGCATAGGAAAACTCATTAATAGATGTTAAACTGAAATATATTTTATAAAAAATCTGAATTTTCTTTATATAAGTCTACAGTTGATGACAGATCTTTATTAATTCTTTTACAAAAATTAAAAGGGATTTATGTGACAGATATAAATTCTTTTACAATAGTTAACCAACTTTTAGATTTTTCTGTCTTTCTTTTTTACTGTCTAGTTGTTAATTCAGAGGTATGTATGACAAAGGTTCTCTTATTAAACTGTTATATAAATCCGCAGGGAGATCTTAAGAAGTCTTACTGTACATTATAATCCATAATAAAAATAGACTTAAAAACTTAAAATCTTCCGCCCCTTAAAAACTTGGCCGAATATTGATCTCACATAATAAAAAGAATTCTTTTAAGTTTTTATATAAACATCAAACTATCTAACTGTTAATCTGCTATAAAAACTTTTTTTATATTATGAAATATCAAGTAAAAAAACTGAAATAAACAAAGTAAGACTCTAAAATACCTTTATATAATAGAAAACTGACCCAAGATTACAAAACTTGAAGGAATGGCCTGATGTTACATTTTAATAAAACGTTTATTTTCCATTATCTTTTAGCTATGCCATTAAAAGTGCACTGTACATGTTTTCTTAATCTTTATGTAATAAACTATACTGTTGAAAAAAAATATTTTAAAATATTTAACAAAGAGGCAAAAGTAAATATTTATGCTATGAATTAAATGGAGAGAACTGATTTTTATATTTCATTATGTACTGAAATACAGAATAATTCCAACTGATAAGGCATTTTGGGAACTTGGAAAAAAATTTAAAAGTTGAAAAAATTATAGCTACCTTATACATATCAAAAAAACACATACTATAATAATCAAAACTCTCCCCCCCCCCCCCACCCCCAAAAAATAAATAAAAAATATTTTTCTTTCGTGTTTTATCATTTTTCAACAATTGACGTAATAAGATATCAAGAAATGAATGATTCTTTCAACTCTTTCATTGTGCATTGCGATTTAGAGCATAAAAAGGAGACAATCTCCAGAATTTCAAACCATACCATTCTTCCTTTGAATTTAGTTTAACAAATATATCTTACTAGTATCCAGAAGGGCATGTTGTACAACCACTGCCTGATCCCTCAAAAAATGTTCCAGCCGAACATTGTGACTGGCATTCGTTTGCTGTACAGTTACATGTTTGTCCAAATGTCAAGTCTAGAGAAAATAAAAACAAGAATTACAATTACATAATATAAACTAATAATTACAATTATATAATTATTTATATAAACTAATAATTTCAATTACATAATATAAACTAAAAACATGATTACAACTACATGAAATCATATCAACTAAAAAATATGATTTAAAATTACAGGATATAACTTAAAATATGAATTACAGTTTATACATGTTGCTAACTAAAAAAATTAAAATAACTGGATAAATTTCACTTACAGATTGCTGATTAAAAGATATGAATAACAAAGTAAAAGTATGAATTACAACTCTATGGATGTTATTTCAAATGAATATTGCTATTTTAACTAATAAATATTTCATTTCAATGGGATTCAAATAAATTACAAATTAACTTTGCTTAAAAAATGAATAGAACTTATCAAAAAATGACATTTTAACTTTATTTTTTACTTCCACATCTTTCTAAAATTTTGAAATTCAAATGACAGCTTTATGGACAATTTATTTCTATAATTAATTTTTTATCTTAGCAAGTCTAAACACTTTTCTGTTCAGTCATAAACTGGAACTTTAAATATTAAATTTTTATGATTTATATTTTCATGAAATGTATGATATCTTAAGTTGATGAATTAACTTCTTAAATGTTTGTTTCCTTTGCACAAGACTTTTAAAATATAAAAAGTAACCCTAAAACAAATTTACATTTAGTTTGTTTCTCATTAACAAAATAACAATTTATTTTTGTTATCAATTTAGGTATTGCATGTTATCGTTACACCATTTTTTCCATTTTCCATGTAATAAGCATACGGAATTTTATTTTTTAATAAGATCTACTATATATTTTTCAATTACAAAATATTTCTCTGCTATGATCTGAAATGTATGGTTGTAGGACTTAAAATAATCTTTTGTTCAAGCTTCTACATTACTTCTAGAGTAAACAATAACTTTCATAACTTTAGGAAATATAATAATCAATCAATATTATATAAAAACTTACCCTTTTCCAGTCTAATCAAACACAGAATGAATAAGATAAATAAATTGTTTTTCATTTCAAATCAATTAAATACATTCACAATAATAAATACGGTAACGTCAACTTCGCGAACCAGCGCTAAAGTTGCGGTGTCTGCTAAATTTAATTTTTCACATTTTATTCCTTCCTCCGAAACTGAAAAATTCACTTTAAACTTTCGAAATGTGGTGGCACGAAAAGACCTGTGAATATTGATCGAAAATAAGTCCACTGTTCAGGTATTTTCCAATATTTCTCGCGTCCACCCGTTACAAATTGCTCGCACCTGTTTA